TGCTCAGTTAAGTATTAAATCAGCTGTCTCTTTAGGCCATGCTAAAAGCCTACTTTCATCTGATTGGTCACCTGCTGAGGAGCATATTATGGTGACTTGGCATCAGCTCGTAACAAAAGGAGGAAAAAACCTAGTAAAACTTTTGGCTCAAAAGAATTACTTTTAGTGCTAATTATTTATTTGTAATGCTGGCCATGTTTAATATGAACATTTGAAAATAAGCATAATGTTAACTCCACATCTACATAAAATAATAATAAAAGATGTATACAAGTGTCTTACACGTGTCATTACATTTACACAATTCATTCAATTTATTTTATTAACTACTTATTGTGGAAAAGTAAAAATCCCTGTGATTTAATGGACATTAAAATGTGTTTAAAATGTGTTCAGAATTTGCAAACTGATGATCATTCACAAAAGTTAAAAGTATTGGTCTGGTATTGGCAACACTGGCGTCGTATTTACTTTGTATCAGGTCAATACCAAAATGCCACAGCGCTAGTGAAAGACACATTTTTAAAAGCTTTTATTATTTGTTGAGCTTAAAGATTTGCCATTCCTTCTCTGTGTTCTGTGATAATAAATACACACAATGTACACTCGTCAATATTTAGACAAGAGGAAAACATTACAAATGGAAAAAGGCGAGAAGCAGGGTACAGGGTCTGTGATAGACTGTGGCCAGTCCAATTTAGAATTACCAGTTAACCGCTTTAGACTGTGGGAGGAAACCCACGTATGCACAGGCAGAACATGTGAAGATTGCAGAACATGCGAATCTTCACACAGCCGACCAGGAGATTTAACCCTCTACCAATGCACTGAGCAAATTTAAAAATAAGGCACATTGTCATTGCTTTGAATTCAGAAAGGTGCTTGAGGATGAGACATGTAAAATCCCTCCAACTGGGACTGCTGAAGGTTGCCTCCTGTTGGGCACTGGTGAAATATCTTTAACAGTGCCCAACATCCAGGACGTCAGATGCCAGAAGAGCACTCTGATACCAGAATTATCCCTGAGATCTCATTGTGTCACTATCTAGAGCTACTGAACATAGATGAGCCCTGGAATGCGTTGTAAGTCGGCTGTTAACATTTTCACCATGACAGTCCAGGATGCCTGCACATGATCTCGAGCTCATACCTTGCCTAACTGTGCAATGCAATTCTCCTGCTACCAGTGCTCTAATTTCTACACTAGGGATAATATAAATAATGGTGGCTCCCAGTATACCACAGGTCTGGGCTTGGAAATGCTGACCCTTGTTTCAATCACAAACAACATTTGAGCAAAACTACTTCAACAGCAAAAATCTAAACTATAATCCACAAGTCAGCAAACTAGACACAAGACAGCCATAAACACAGCCAGGGACAGGGCAAGACTATAGTAGAGGCCCATGCCCTCTGGCACAACAATTGCTCTGTTTATACAAGCATCAAATAGCTCCAGGCAGCAGCCCAGCTTCCATAACACGTCTTTACATAAAGATGAAGAAATGAAGAAAAATAATTCTACACAGCTCAATACATGGTAAACTTAACATATACTCAGTTTATAATAACTACGTTTAGAATGTGATGACAAAGCCAAATGTTATCAAAAAGCTAATTAGAGCCACAGCTTTAAAGTTCCCTATTTCCTTCTACACTGTCCTGCTCTTTACTTATGTGAAAAGCACAAGTCATGAGAGGATGATGCAATTTTTTTCTAGTGTTACTTTCACTGACTTTTTCTAAGGTTATGAGGTAGAAATCAAGACCTTTAGGGAGTCACCGGGCTGACATGTGGCCCCAGCTTAGCGGCCCTTTTTAGCTCTGCTCGTCATGCTGCAGTCGCACATCTGCACCTATATATCAAAGCCATGCACAAAAACATTCCTGAGAGCAAAGCAGGGGTGATTTGTGTGCCTTTCTCCTTCTTTTTTGATTAAAATTCATCTGTGATCTGACTGTTCGCTCAGCTAAAAGCTATACCTTTTAAATCAGTCATCCGTCCAGAACTTTGACCTGCACCACATTAAGACCAGCACTGACATCACAACTGTTTCCCCTCTCCCCGCCGAGTCTCATGCCTCTTTCATATATTTTCTCTTGTCCTCGACAGATGGACAACCTTGCAGCCAGAGATTTTTTAAGTGTTTAATAAATGTAATACAACCTATATAGTGTTGAAGAAAGGGCCCTAAACCAGAACCATGTGCGGGAAGTGGATGGCGGCCGTTAGGGGCCACAGCTAATGTGGTTCAACATGTGGACCGGGCCATGCTAGAAGGTTCACTTACATGTTGGACAGTTTATGACCTTCAGCGCTGTTCCCTCAAAATGTAGACAGCGTCCTTACTATTCTCTAGTTTATAGTGTGGTATTTTGTTTTTAAATGCACCTCTCCACGAGAGGAGAGTAATAAAAGGATACAGGTGATGTTGGAATGCAGTGTCTTTCATGTTTTTATCTCACAGAGAAGAGGCGCTGTGGTATTATGTTCATAAAGGGGGTAATATATGAAAATGTTTGACTTATTGTCAAATTAAGGGGAAGAGTGTCATGACCCTGGTTGTTTATCTGCATGCCTCTGGTTGTTATTTCATTCAGCTCGGTCCTGACACTGCTAACCACAACAGACAGTGAAGTGCTCCTGAGAAGGAATGTGAGTAGTGATGCGACTGGATAAATCATAAACACTTGGAAGTTACCCAGCAGCTGTGCAGGGCAATTGCTCAAACTGAAGTATTATCAGATCTTGACCTGAGTTGTAAACAAAAATCAGCAGACTCCCAACGGGTTTTGCGGTTTTGTTTTTCTGTAACTTTGCCCCTGCTTAGAATCAAACATTTATGAGTATCTATCAAGCCAAACAAATCTAAGATGTGTTTCTTTGTGTTTTGCTTTGGGTGGGTTTTTTTTTTTTGCTATTGTATTTTAACCCGTCACTGGGTCAGTCATCGAGAACTCATGCTTGCAGTCACATTTTGCACAATCCCACTTCCATCAAATGTCTAATAGGAGTGTGTCACTTGGATAAAAGCTTCTGTCACAGCTAATGCAATTTTATATTCTCGCTGGGAGACTTACTGAGCTCTCGCTCCCTCAGTACAGCAGCCAACATACTGAAAGAGCCGTCACACCAAGGACACCATCTGTTTGACCCGCTGCCCCCGGTAGAAACTTCGGGTCCATCAAGTCACAGACGAACAGATTTAAGAACAGCTTCCACCCTCATGTGAGAACTGAACACTCCCAAACATTTAGTGACTGAACTTACATTTCTAAAAAACTGCACAGATGTGCCCATATCTCAACTGCTCGATGATCCAGCAGTGCAATATCTCAGCTGGCATTCATTGCATTGCATAATTATTTATATAATTATATTTATATAATTACTATCTGAAATTAGCCGATTTTTACATTGTGACTGGTGCATGTGGTGCGGATGCATTTACAGGTTTTGTTGCTCCATTTCTGCTGACAGGTTAGAAAAATAAAACAGACACTGTGTTCAGACAATAATCTTTGCCTTAGTTAAATCAAGTGAATTGACAACTATATACTCAAGAGTCTTTAGATAAAATTTACATTTTGCAAACTACAACTAGCCTGCTAATTTCTAGAAATATCCACAATGGTCTACAACTAAATGGAGTGGGATTTCATTTGTATTATGGATATGTGTTTACACACGTCTAAACTAGTTACACAAACACAACAAATAGTTTAGATAAAGATGCATTATCCCCTCAAAAGGGTACTCATTAAAGTGTGTTCAGAAAATATACACAGGATGCTTTATAATATTACATTTATTATATTTTATATTTTGTAATTGTTTCTGAAAACTTAATATCCTAAATTACAGCAAAGGTTTTAAAGTTTCTAAAGCTATAAAATAAATCAAATTCAAATAGGTTTTAGGATGAATACGTTAAAAAAGTGGCACAAAGCAAGTAGAATACATATTGTTACTATTTTAGCAGAGTGGATCATACCCGGCCTTACTAAAAAAAATCCTACAGCTAAAGGAATAATTTGAAGAGGTTTGTAGAGAAAGCAAACCTGAAGGTGCACATCGACCTCAATAAAAGTAAATATTAAATATGCTATATTTAAAAAAATATGTTTTATGTATAAATCCGTTTTAGGTGACACAAAAGCCTTTTTTCCGAGACTAAATGTGATATACAGGCTATGGCCAACATTTGGCCACTTCTAAATGCTTTAAAGCCACAGCTACAAAGAGACATTGTACTTTCATATTCACCTAATGGAACAGCTAATGTAAAACATGAGGGTGAGATCCACGAATGTATTAAATGCTATCTGACTCACATTTTTGTACAGCCTAATATTTCACTAAGCCTTAGCATTTCATTCAGAGATGTACTCTAGATAAGTGCAATAATCTCAGTTTGATGGATGGCCCAGCCGGAGCCTAGGGCCAGTGGTGTGTACATACTGCACTGGTTGCGGCAGAACGATAAAACCCCACACAGGCAGGTGTGTTTGGTTAAGATGCACTTGTCAAGTGGGGTGACAAGCATGTCTGTGTTCATTCAAGTGAACCCCTTATCGGTACCTCCATGTCCCACTCATGAGACAAAAGCACTTCCCATGTTTGTATGATTTACCTCTCAAGAAAACGCGCGAGCACACGCACGCTGTGCACACACATGCGCAACAATATCTCACAGAAAGTGTGTTTGCTAGAAATTTATACATATTTATATATCCTGTCATTGCTGCTTACCTGTACAGTATACCCACAACCCAGCACCAGTATCGAGTATGGAGAACATTCTTCGGTTATGCTGCATTGTTTTTGTTTTTTAGCTTTTTCTTCGCCTTTGGATATTTAAGCAGCTTTCACTGAATTTTTTTATATTCCTTCACTTATCTAATTCCCTTAGAACGCGCGAGCGAGCGCTATCACCTTATTTTGACACCTCAACTTTCACCGGGGTGAGCCGGAAGTGATGTCAGACTAGGAAGTAAATCTCGCCACTGGCCGTCAGCAGTGAGCAGTAATGGACTGCAACAACAACAGCAAGTTCAGCGAAGATTAGCCGAAAGTGTCGCATGAGCGTGTTTGTGGGAAGAGTTTGTGCCGAGCTGAAGCGCTGAATGTCCATGTGGTGTTGGTGAAAATGACACCGAGGTGAGAAGCTGTGTGCTTGTGTGTGATGCTCTGTGTGCTCACCAGCTAGCCGCATAATGCTAACGTTGTCCTCCAGTCTTAACTGAATTTACCCCTAACAAAGCCTTACGAAAAAGTGACAATTTAATATTGCCTCGCATCATTTAATTGTTGTAATCAGTTAAGTAATATTTACTTTTGACAAACCTGTGGAGAGACGCTCACTTAAAGGAGCATTGCATCTTAATGTGACTTACGTGGTTACTTACACCACTTCTTTCATGTATACCTGCGTCAATGCGTCATCTAGAGTTATCTAGAGCCACAGCCCATGACTGCTTTACTTGAATATGTGCACAGCTTCTTAATCTCAGTCAAAACCTCTATTTTCAGTCTAAACTAATTTGAAAATAATACATGAAACGGTCGCTCCATATCTCACTGAGTGACTCACTAATTCAGTGACAATGACACCAAAATGTGTCACTGGATGAGATCATCAATATCTGCCTTGAACCTCCATCTTAGGGACATATATTTAAAGATATTGTGCAAATCATACAGTGCAAAATGTGATTTCTGCTTAGCCGTATTACTTCCAAAGTGGCTGCCATCAAATTATTAGCAGGCTGCCTGCTTTAATATTAGTTCTCTCTGTGTCTTCATAAGCCAGGCTTTCATTCTTGGCAAAAATAATAATGTTTTCCTGTTTCTTTCTGTTCTGTTTTCTTGCAGATGACTCAGCAGTGGCTTGGACATCTGTGATCTGACAGAAGATGAGACTTGCTCAGTTTGTCAAACTTATGGTCCACTGTAAAAAGTGCTGCTAAACGCTGATGTCAAACTATAGTGAATCATGATTGCTGCTTCTTGCATGTCGCACTCACTGAAAAAAATTGCTGCATAAATTATATTTGACTTTATTTTGAATGGATTTCAGTTAACAGTCAGTGCTTACAATGTCACTGGGCGAGCAGTCTCAAAAGTGGTTTCCAACCCATGTCCAAGCCACTGTTCTTCAAGCAACTGGTTTACAGGCCAAAGGCAAAAATGGCACCAATGATGCCTACACTATCATCCAGCTGGGCAAGGAGAAGTACTCAACATCAGTGGCAGAGAAGACCCTTAACCCTGTGTGGAGGGAAGAAGCCTCCTTTGAATTACCTGGCCTACTTTTGGAGGGCAACCCAGAAGTGTATGAACTCTGCTTCATAGTGATGCATCGCTCTTTGGTTGGGATGGACAAGTTTCTGGGTCAGAAGTGCATAAATCTTAATGAAATCTTTGATAACAAGGAGAGAAAGAAAACAGAGTAAGTATTAAAAAAAAACTATAAAAGTCTATTAGATATCACAAAATGTCACAATGGTTCTTTGAGAAGTTTTTTTTGGGGCATAAGCACTACTGCAGTGAGCTCCAAGAATGATTATTGTATCCTCATTTTAATGTGCTAACAACCAGCACTTAAGAATGAGGTACTTATGTTATAACCATGTATTTTTGCTCTCTGATATTTATGGTATATGTACTTTTTGGAAAATATAATTCCTTCAGATTTTCTGGGACAGAAATACTACTGTTAGCAGTTTTTGCAGTGATTGCAAGGTCAATAGTTTCCCTTTAAAAGACGACCTGGGGCGGTTTTAACACCAACATAAATCATGGGACTTACAGCATGTTTTTATATAGTATAGTTCTTAGACATTAGCATCACATGTACATTATTCAGGGTCTTTAGTCTGTAGTGTCTTGTTGGTATAGAGACAGACCTTTGAGAGGAAGTGGAAAATATTTCCACAGCCTTTCCAGTCATAAGTGGATTACACCATGAGCTAAGTCAGTTGTTATTTGTCACATTTGCCACAAGTATTACTGCCATAGTAGACTTCACAAATGTGCTGTCTTTTGCGTGTTATATTCTGCACTGTGGTCTCAATTAAGGTCATGACCCAACCCTGTTGCTCCACATGATTTAAATACCATTGCGTTGCCCTTTATTTTCTTTGTGCACTTGGTTTAGAAATACACTTTATTAGCTACACGAGTTTTAATGTTAAGAGCAGAGTAAATGAAATGCTCTAACAGAAGCACTTCACTTTAAAATTATTTAGCACACCAGTGACACACTTTCATGCTCAGTTAGCAAGGACATGTTGGTTGTACTTTTTTTTTTTTTTCCATCTTCATGACACTGTATTGTTTGAGGCTTAGCAATGGATTGGCCTACGCTGCAGAGAGATTATTTTAGAGTAATTACTGACACCAGTTGACCTAACTGAAACTAGTGGAGCTGGACAAACATGTCTTGTTAGCCACTCCTATACTCCATTTTTTGTTTTTTCAAAGGTGTGAATGAAAGATGGTCTCTCCTTCAGAGCCAAAGACACCTGGGATTAAATCTTGGCTTGTTTCTGTACAGTTTAGTTCCCCTCCAGTTAAAATCTGGCCTCTATGCATTGTGCCTTTCTTGGCACAAAATACATTCCAGTTTGGAAACAGATATTTATCTATGCCAATATATTGGTGGACAATAGTGGGCGTCTCTCTGAGTCATAATTGGGTGACTTGTTAAGGCTGCTTGGTTACCTTCAAGTAAAGCCATGCCAGAATAAGGTTTGTCCTCTTTAAAGTTACTGAAAAAAGATTTGAGGAGAGTTCGATGTGTAGATGTACATTCAAATAAACTAACACAGTGTAAACCATCAGAGCTTGGAGAGACTCTGCTGTGTTTGTCTAAACTTTGGTTGATGAGCCTCACAAGTCCAACACACACACACACACACACACACACACACACATTTCTTAACCCTACATTAAGCAAACAGGAACTGCGAAACCAAATTGGATCTGGTGTTAATTAGCTCACTGCACGTTTTCGGGGGGGAAGGACATTAGCTGACTTCCTCTTTGCCCATCAGTTGGGAGAATCACAATATGTTATAATCAGTGTGAACGGGTTTTATTTATTTAGGTGCCTCAACTGATGCACCTTGAGGCTGTGCACTTTTTCAGCAGTGGTTCTGTAACGGATATCGCCGCGTTGCTTGCTGGCCTAATACCTACGCTGCAGCCATACTTGACAATGATGCCAGGGCTCTCGATACTATATCCACACTCCACAGTGGGTCTCTGTTCACCACGGCCCATCCGCAGTGTTTTTGAACTGGCATATTGGGGAGGAAAGCCCGTACTGATATCTGAGAAGGCAGCCCATAATTATCGCACACCTGTGTTTGTTGATTGTGAGGAGTTTCCCAGCGGCTTGGACCGGAGTGGGAGGATTGTGGTACAGGGAGGTTTATCTTGGCCTTGAGACACACGTGAGGTGCAGGCTCGGCCCCACGGCAGCGGCATGCTGTGGCTACTGATCAGGCGGAGCACGGCGCGCAGCCTGGGAATTGGCCCCAACAAGGCCTTTCATGACTGAGGCTTCTGGGATGCGAGCTAGACTGCTTAAAATAGCGTTCAGCAGCTGTGATTTCTTATAAGGCTAATACCAGCAAAAAAAATCAATTGATAACTCAAATTTCATGTCAGACTGCAAGGAGTACTATAAATCTTCATTTAAATCTAGAAGAAAATATCAGTAATTGTAGTCAAGCAGATACACTTAAGCAAATATGGTTTTTTTTGACTTGGTTATACTGATAAAGCATCCCATTTTAGAATATATTCCATGTTTGTGGCAAAGGCAGTGAGAAAATATTGACGCTTGTTTCATCCTGATGCTGGTTTCCTAATGGCCGCCTTCACAGGCCCTCTAACACAGAGGATGTGTCTCATTAGCATGTATGAACTGTTGTGTGCAAAGCCTGCGATGTGGCTTTGCAGTTTCCCAATTGCTTGTCGTTGCATTTCTGAACAAAGGCCAGATTTGTGCAAATGCCACTTTATTTCGCTCAGAGCGAAGGCATAAATCCCATTACTTCCAGTTGAAAAAAGCAGAGAGGTTAAACAAATAGGAGCCAAAAACAGCCTGAAATGGTCTGTATTATTCGGCAGCAGACAATTTATTTTTTTAAGGTTCAGTTTGCAAAGAATGTTTATCCTTTGAGTTATAAATTTGTGTTCTCATATGTGTCATAAAAAAGTTCAAATGATTTAAGCCCCTGAATTTGTGTGTCGCCTTTGGATTAGTCTTCTCAAATTAGCCTTTTCAGTAGTAGCCATAAAGATGTATGTAAAGCCCATTAGAAGGAATGAGGGCTATTTTTCCATTTGTCATATTGTTTGATCGTGTAAGGACTTTTACCACATTCTGACTTTGTATCCCTGTCTTGCTGAATTATGTTGCATTACGCGTAATCAACTCAGAGGATTTTTATAAACCCTGCTCTTTTTATACAAATTGTCTCATTGAATTTGCTCAGCTTAAGCTTCCTGCACTCTCATTTTTAGCTGGTATTCCTTGGAGTCCAAGCCCGGGAAGAAGAGGAAAGAACGAGGTCGCATTCAAGTCAGCATTCAGTTCATGAGAAACAACATGACGGCCAGCATGTTTGACCTCTCCATGAAGGAAAAGCCCCGCTCGCCTTTTTCCAAACTTAAGAACAAAGTGAAGGGTCGAAAACACGACAGCGGCTTCGGTGACGCTTCTTCAGCCATCTTGCCTCGGTCCGCCGTGTGTGATTCAGAGCCCAGCCGTCAGTCCGGCGCACCAGAACGTCAATCCCAGCCTGAAACAAAAGTCAAGAGACCGCTACTCGCTGGGGCCCATAAACTCTCTGCAGCGCATTCCATGTCAGATCTCATCGGGACCCACTTTCGACCCAAACTGGATTCCATGAACTCCATAGAAGAGAGTGGTGAGGACCAACGCTTCTGTTTTTCACAGTAGTTTGTTACATTTGTCACTTTTTGGTTTGGTATACTTTTATTGCTGTTAGAGCGATCTCTGAAGAGGATTTTGATACTGTTTTAAAACCAGTTCTCATATTAACTGAAGCTGCCGATGCATTTTCGTTATTGTGTTTATAAGAACGGGGGATAGTGGTTTAAGCAGTCGACTGGGATCCAAAATATTTCAGTGAAGACTCAATCTTAAGTGTTAAAATGATAGAGAATAGTCAGAATGACACTGTGGTGCATTGTGGCATCCTGTCTGTCAGGACAATGTTTTAGTGTTTGTTTGTTACAAATATATGGCTCTTATAGTGTTAATCCACAATTTCATTGTACATGTGCAATGGAAGTAAAGGGCTAGTCTATTTTATTATATTTTAAAATGAGATGTTGTTGCAATTTCTAGAGGCCATCTGTAGACGTCTGTAAGAATGCTTGCTTGTATATAATCCTATTAACAATATAAGGTACTGTAAGTCTCAACTCAATAAGGTAGTAATGTAGGCCATTTATGTCAGTCTTTGACATTTTAGTCGTTTTCTGTTTTTAAGCTGAAATTTTCCACCTCAACCAGTCTCCAATTTACCAGTTCTTTCTGCAAAGTTAGTGCAGCTGTAACTCATGCAAACAGTAGTTGTGATTCTCATAGTAAAAGCTGAGATGTTCACTAGAATCTGCTGTTAAAATGTAACATGTCAGAGTGAAAAATAAGTTTAGTGATAATAACAAAAAAAAAGATATTTTTCTTTATTTTTGCTGAAAGAGGTTCAAACAGTAGAATACTTCTGCACATAAACCTATGGGGAACCCCCTCCCCCCCAAAAAAAACAAAAAACAAACCTTTGTATTATTATCCGCAGTTAGTTTTTAACTGTTGTGATCACACTGGTTCTTCTGGTTCTATATATTGACACAGTATTTTATTCACAACATAAAGAAAAACACTCGTTAATGAGTGGAGGTGTTTGTTTTCAAGACCAAATACCCAATCCAGGGTTTGCCATTTGGATTTGACCAGCTACTTATTTATGTTACTGCTTCACTTTTACCTATAAATTCTTCTTTTGGGTGTTCAAACCTGAATGAAAATCGTGGCTCACTTGCACACTTCTGCATTATTATATTTAAAAATATAATATCTATGATTTTAATCATGCTGGACTCCACAGATGCAATGTGGTAGTTTCGTAATAAAGCAGTAAAATTCTTATTCTTACCAAGTGAAGCTGCAGTCAGACAGTTATCATATTTATCTGATTTACATTATCAATAAGTCATCTCTTGTCCACTAAGGGTACAGATAATCAACGGGTAGATAATCAGTACCTTGTGATAAGTTTGAATTTGTATTGAAAGTTTCTTTGCCTTGAGGTGGAGGGGAAACCAATCTCAAGTTCTAAAGGTCTGAATGCAGTTGTAGAGGTTAAAGGGCAGACGTAAAAATATATAAAACTGTATGGCGGACTCATGTAAACCAGTGCTGATAAAATATTAGTTGGATAGGCTGCTCGACCACCTCAAAGAATGGTACAAGTGTTTTTTTTTAATAATTTCTTCTATGTCTAAACTGATGATGAATTGAGTTCACCCAATCCCTTTTAACAAAACACTAACCCCCCCCCTAAAAAAACATATTTTGTTTCTTATTACATTTCTAATTTATCTTGTAGGAAGTACAGGTGGCCCTCACAGGCGTTCCCAGAGTGAGGTGCCAGGCTTCCAGGACGACGAAGCACACGGTGACCCTTTCACTGATATCACTGACACCCTGCCACAGAAGTATGCCACGCTCCCACGCAACCGCAACCCATTTGAGGGGGAGCACGGGCAGCTGTGGGACCGACCAGAGCGGAAGGAGAAAAAGGAGAAGGTCAGCCTACTGGAACGCGTGACAGGAAAGAAGGAAGGCCGCAAGCCCAGCAATGGGGGGCGTTCAGGGAGCTCTGGAGACCTGCGTTCCCCAAACCCCTTTAGTGGAGACTCGCAAGCAGACACTAACCCATTCAGCTCCAACTACAAAGCCAGGTTGTCCTGTTTTTGTTTGTATTTGTGGTTAAGTTAGCTTTATTGGCTATATTAGCATCATCACTTTATTTGACTTTTTCTTTTCTTGTCCCAGTCAGGAATAACAATGGGAGTTTTTTCTAAAACAAAACAAAACAGAAATTTACAAGAGAACACACTTAAAAACAAAATGTATGTTGTCTTATTAAAATAAAGACAAAGTCCGTGTTCGGCTCCTGCAGAGCAGTGATTGCAGCATGCTACTTGTGTCTTTTTCATCACAATCAAGGAATCTCAAAATCCCAAAACATCATCTTGGAATGCCAATGGAATAGTCACTGCTCCACAGGATATTTGCTTGACATTCCAGTAAAGTTCTCAATACCTTGTTGATTGAAATCTACTTTCTGATAGACCCTCTCTTGCTCTCTTTCTCATTATGTTGTCAAATATTATTTAAACATTTCCACTGAGCCAGTTACATCTTTTTCCGGTGTTACATAAAGAGTTGGTGAGCACTGTAGCTAAGTTCTGGTTTATCAGAGTGGAAGGTGTCATTAGTGGCTCTTTAGAGTGCCTGGGTTTGATAACAGAGCCCTCTGAGCTATAGTAATGAGATCCCCTGAAGAGATAGACCACCCAATTAACCACTTATCTCTGTAGGCACTAGTCCATCATCTTTACTGCTGCCTTTGTCATACACTAGCTCAGCGGTCATTTGTAATGTAGTGCATGGGTGAAAAAAGGTGTTTTCAAGTTTATTATTTATTCCTTGTTAATGTATTTATTATTATTCTCCTAGCGCAGGACATGAGTACATCAGAGCTTCTATATTTGCAAAAGTCTGCTGAAATACAGAGTGCAATGCTTTAATGTGATTACTAACTTTGCATTTGGTTGTTTTGCAGTGACAAAAAATTAACCGGACCCAACATCACCTTTGGCCAGAAGAAGAAGGACAAAAAAATAGTAAGAATATGGTTTAGAAAGTGATATAGTTTCATATTACCTGACTGGGTGAAAGTGTAGAGGGAAAAAAAGGGAGAATAAGCGCAACAGTTACATTTGTGTACATTTTATATGTAATGCTGAGCAGATTTTGTTATTGAGGACTCTTAAGCAGCTGGTGACATTGATTTGTGAGACCCCTGAAAACTCAGACGTGCCGTTCAACTAATTAGCAGCTGCACACATCGGTCATCATGTCCGATCTAATCATAGTTTGAAGTGGTGTGAAATTTCGGCCTGTAAGGTCAGTTGTAGTGATGTGCACAGATTGTTTAATTGCTGTTTGTTTGGGGTTTTTTTATGAGGCAGGGCACAGAAATACGTAAAGATATCATTTTTACCCTATTTGTAGATAAAGTTTTTAACTCTTTAGTAGTTGCTAGTTGTTCAGTAGTTAAAATTCGCAGACTGTTACACAGCAAAACTGATATAGATGAAGGAGCAGGGGGGAGCAATAGCCGAAGTGATGCCTAAATGAGAAGGAGAATGCTGATAATGGCTTTCCTCACCTTTCTTTGTGGGTGTTGAGGGCTGTCGGTATCCACACATGTGCCCCCGTGCATGCCGCTGTGCCTCGCAGAAATGGCAGCTCCCATTTCCTCTGCTTCAAGGCCCTAATTAACTACACGCAGGAGGGAGGGAGGGCAGTGAGAGATTTCAAAGGACTGAGCTTTTAGATTCTCAAAGCTGAGCTCATTAGAAACTGTAATGACACAACTGGAGAATGCCAAGTGTGCGCCTTATCTTCTCCTCACTACTGATCGCAGAAAAATGGTCATCATTACTTTGCCAGTTCATGGTCATTTCCAGGCCTTTGTCACCAACCACTAAGGCTCCTGATTATTATGCCGTGGGCGTGTGTGTATATATATGTGTGTGTGTGTGTGTGCATGTGCATGTGAGAGGGAAAGCCAGTGTGTGCATGTATACACGCTTGTACGTGAAACCAGCATCCTTCCATATGGCTGTCTGCTCTCTTATTCCCTCTCAGATGGCTTAAGTGCAGTATCTTTCAGTGAGATGGCTTTTTTTGGGGGGTAGGTGTGTTTGTGTGAGGAATAGGTTACCGAGCTCTGTTCCTGAAACCCTCCTTACGTTGGACATTTAATCTCTGTGGCAAATATTTCATTTTGGTTTGTGTCGCCCCACAGTAGCCTCTATGCTGTTAGAAGCGATAAGATACCTGGTAAGCAGTCCTGCTCCAGCTCTTTCTGCATTGTCTTTACCCAGCAGTGAAGGCTTGAATAGTGCATGGGAGTGGAAGCTGATAAGTGTGGTATTTTAAACAGGGTGAAGGCTTTGCTGTTCTATCCGTTCAGGGGAGGATGCCCAGCACTGAAGCGATAAAGTGGTCCCTCATTAAAAACGATTACAGCTCCTCTCGTACCCGCGCAATATGATCTGCACATACTGTACCACCCTGCTCTGTCCAACTAGATTGTCCTCAAAGAGCAAAGCTGGGCTTGGGTTGCATTCGTATTTTGGCATTTATTAGCGTGACCTTTATTTGTAGAAATATGCAGCCTGGCATTTCCCCCTCAAAACAAAGATTAAATTGTTTTGGTAATCTTTATTGTTAAGTACTGGCAGATTATTTGGAGTTTTTGCCCGAGTCGTCTTGAATTAAAGAGTATGTGTTTTTAACACTAGAAAGCAAAGACAAAGATGTGCTGTAGTGTCAAAGCGAAGTCCTAATAGAGTAGTTAAGCTATAAGGGACCTTATAGGGTCCTTGTTTTTCACCTTTAGATAGGTTACTGTCCAAAAGTCATGTTCCTACTGGCATTATTTGATTTACTGAAAAATGTGCAAACATACATGGAAATATAAAGTTAAAACAGAATTTGTGCAATTCTAACAACCTTGAAAGTCAATTTTTGATATGACCACCTTTATTCTATAATTGTCTGAGGGAAGCTTTTTGCAAAAACCTTTCTGCATTCATAATTTTATCAGTTTTGACAGAGACTCCATCACCAGAAAGCATGAAGGAGCCTCCTTTAGTGGTTGCAGTAGACACTTACCTCTCTTCT